CCCACAGACTATGGACCTTGTGAAATGTGATATAAAAGTCTCCGTCCATGTATTTGGATTATATGGTTCGAGAACCAAACAGCTGCACAAGCCGGAGACCACCCTGGACCTTGTTAAGCCTAATTGCTACTTTGTAACAATTTCCACCTCAGTGTTCTAAGTGTTCGACTGGGTGGCCCCAATTCCTATGGACGACCACGAGGTGGCCTCCATCTTGTTCGCATGAATGAAGGCAGTGGTGTTTGATTGTTGAGTTCATGGAACTATTTTCGGATACGGAAACTCCTGAACACCACTGAACTTCCATGATCACCTGCGTTTGGTTTAACAACACTTAGAAAAGACACTGTTCAGTGGAAATGTTCCCACGAACAAGGGGAACAAGCTCCAGGTTAAGACTATCGGCTACATTCATTGGTTTGTTCATTTTTAAACTACCGAAATAGACTGACCGCAAGCCCTGATTCTCTGGAACTGTTTTGGGCATGAGGCCATGCATGCAGTCAGTCAAACAAATGACTTCCAGGAAATTCCTGAACCCGTGATCTGATCTGGGTGATGTTTGGATATGTTAAAATGGAGAAATAAAGTAAACAGAGTGCAGGTCAGGAGTCCGGATACAAGTCAAGGGCTCATGAGCTGCACCACTGTAACCACCTAATAGGGAGCTCCAATGAGGGGGTAACCCTCCAAAATATGTAGGTAATAGGAGTAGGTGATGTGTAGAGTCCCACAAGAGGAAGCCAACATCAGGAGAGCTCCACTGTATAGGAAATGAGGAAGGGAGGCCCTACCTTTAATCAATCTAAGGATAAAAAGGGATATGCAAACAAAAAGTATAACTTGAAAAAAAGGGAGATCTACTAAACGGTGCCCAGGGGATCAATTGTCTGGAGTACTAGCTAGCATCTAAGTTCCAGTTCCCCTAGTGTCCAACTGACAGGAAGGTAGTGTAAACAAGGTTAGGGAGAGAGAAGAGGCACAGGGTCCCCAGAGAACCGGGTGATCAGGTCTAAACACAGATGAAATGCCTCACACAAAAAATAAATAATGAAATAAATCTCTCAATTCACCCAAAAAGTTACCTCGACACCGTGGTCTGACCACTTGTGTCTACTTGAACCAACTCTCCCTACTAAAGTTATAAATAAATAAATAAACACCTTAAAATCAATAACCATAGAGGTAACAAAAATAAAAAAGTGCTACCAAGTGCAGAGATTAAAGAAAAAGAAAGCGTGTTCAAAACGCCATCATCAGGAGCCTGTGTTTGGATATGTTGTTCACCCAGATCAGGGCTATCAGGGGGTGTAACTGTGGGTTTTTTATGTATTTTTAGGGTACTTTTGGGGTGTTTGGGAAAAAGTATGTTTTTTCTTTGCTTGGAGATAATTGGATTAGATTAGTACAGTTCCTGATCCAATTATCTCCCAGGCCCAGAGGAGGGATTATCTGATTATGTATGGGAGTGTCCTGGATCTGAGAGCCAATATAATTGTGTATTTGTTTCTACTGTGGTTTACTCTCAGGTCCAGGGAGGAGTGCCACATGGGGACATGCATATAAGGCAAGTTGTGGCTGCGATTAAAGCAGTTTATACTCCCAGAACTATGTGTCGTCTGGTTACTGGGAGGGGAAAAGGCTATTCTTTAATCACTGTTCCAGTGTGGATGATTCAATGGGGAAAGTCCTTGTAAGGACTAGAGCTGCCAGGACTGTGTGCCATTCAGTGCCTGGGGGTGTCTAGAGCGAGTTCCCCATTCGGCTCCAGGAGGGAGCGGTTCCAGGACTAGAGCTCCCAGGACTGACTGAGGAGTCCCCCTGCTGCCAATCTGACCCTCTTGGGCCATGTCATCGCAAGGTCCTTGCGAGGACCTCACGATCACATGGATGGAATAGCCGTCCATAGCAGTGCCAGCAGGGGGAGTGCCTGGAATGACAGGTAGTCCCCCTGCTGCCTGTAATAAATGAAAATAAAGGTTAAAAACAGTTTTAAATAAAATAATATATACTTAGATCATATATATATATATATATATGATCTAAGTATATTTATATATATATATATATATATATACACACACACACACTTTTACATACATACACTAAGTGTATTTTAATATTAATATATATACATATATATATATATATATATATATAATTATATATATCTTGATAAAGACCCTTAGGTCAAAACGTTGATCCATATTGGCAACATTTAAATCCATTTTTTCACTTTGAAAATCCACTGAGCGCTCTCACACTTATTATTTCGTTCTAAGTGTATTTTGATATCAATATATATATATATATATATATATATATACATATATATATATATATATATATACATTAATATCAAAATATACGTAAAATGGTATTAATTAAATATATATATATATAAGTATAATTATATATATATATATATATATAATATAAAATAAATATCTAAATACGTTAAAAATGAAAAATTATTTTAAAAAAATCAAAATATATATATGTGTAATTTCGTTCTAAGTGTATTTTGATATATATATATATATATATATATATATATATATATATTGATATCAAAATACACTTAGAACGAAATAATATATATATATATATATATATATATATATTACTTTATATATATACCTATATATAAATAAAAATATTTAAAAACAAAATACATATATATATATATATATATATATATATACACATACGTATATATTTTAATTCTGTGTATATATTTATTTAATATTTTTACATAATCAAGTCATTTTATTAATTACAATTTGTGGGACCTGCCTGATAGCCCAGGCAGAAAGCCCAGAGAATTTAATTTGCTAGCACTATACTTAACCCTGTAACTTTACAAGACACCATAAAACCTGTACGTGGGGGGTACTGTGTAGTTTTTTGCATTTTTCACACACAAACTTTCCATTAGGCAGGCCAGGGGCAGAGCCAACACAAGCCAAACACAGCCCTGGCCAATCAGCATCTCCTCATAGAGATAAATTGAATCAATTAATCTGTCAGTTTAAATGTTTGGAAAAATGTCTATCTGTCTCTCTGTCACTTTAAATATTAGGGATAATCTGTCTGTCAGCTTGCCTGTCTGTCTGTTTAAATATATGGATAAATCTCTGTCTGTCAATATAGACGTAGGGGAAATCTGTCTGTCTTTCTCTCAGTTTAAATATTTGGAAATGTATCGATCTGTCTGTCAATTTAAATCTTTTGGAAATTCTGCCTATTTAATTGCTTGGGGAAATCTAATTGTCTGTCTGTCAATTTAAATGTTTAGGGGAATCTGACTGTCTTTCTGTCAGTTTAAATGTTTGGAAAAAATCTGCCTTGTCTCTGTCAATTTAAATTTTTTGGGTAGTATGTCTCTCTGTCAACTTGCCTGTCTGTCTATTTAAATGTATGGGTAAATCTGTTTGTCAATCAGTATAAATGTGGAGGAATCTTTCTGTCTCTCTGTCTTTTTTGGGGACTATATCAGTCTGTCAATCTAAATGTTTAGAGAAACTTGTTTGTCTATTTACATTTTTTTTTAAATCTCTCTGTCAATTTAAGTGTTTGAATGAATCGGCAATTTAAAGCTCATTGAAGCTATCTGGGTGCAATGTCCTATGTCCCTTAACCCTACAGTGGTAATTATTGCAGTTTCTTAGAAACTGCAATCATTACCTTGCAGGGCTAACTCCATTTCTAGTAGCTGTCTACCAGGGGACTTCCGTATGGTTAGGCGACCAAATGATGTCTAAATGACGCTGGACGTCCTCCAGCTGTGCATGAGGACATCCAGAGTCAATCAAATCCCCATAGGAAAGAATTGAAACAATGGCTACTTATAAGGAATCTTAATGCGAGCACGGCACTTGATGTGCATGTTCATTAGGTCTCCTTTGCCGGCTGACGTCTGTGGGGGATGTGTGTGGGCTGAGCCTGACCCAGCAGCGAGGGACATCAGGTAAGTGACTGAAGACGTTTTACACCCTCTGCACTGCAGGAAGGGGGCACGAGGGAGAGGGGCACTGTAGGGACCTATAGTGCCAGGAAAACATCTTTGTAGTATCCCTTTAAATGTTTGGGAAAATGTCTGTCTGTCTCTCTGTGACTTTAAACATGTGGGGTAATCTGTCTGTCTGTTAACTTGACTGTCTGTCTCTTTAAATACAAGGGTAAACCTCTGTATGTCAGTAAAAACGTAGGGGAATTCTCTCTATCTTTCTGTCAGTTTAAATATTTGGGGTTATATCTTCAATCTGTCTGTCTATGTAAATGTTTGGGGAAATATATCAGTCTCTCAATGTAAACGTTCGTCTATTTAAACATTTTGGAAAGTCTCTCTCTGTCTGTCCCTATATACATATAGGGAATTCTGTCTGTCAATTTTAATGTTTGGGGAAATCTATCTGCCAGTTTGTCAAATTAAATGTTTGGGGAATCTGTCAGGCTGTCAGTCAGTTTAAATGTTTGAGGGAAAATGTGCCTTTCTCTTTATCACTTTTAATATTTGGAGTAGTCTGTCTGTCAACTTGCCTGTCTATCTATTTAAATAGATGAGTAAATCTGTCTGTATGTCAGTATAAATGTAGGGGAAATATGTTTGTCTTTCTGTCAATTTAAATGTTTGGGGTAACCTGTCTGTCAATCTGTCAGGTTCTTAAAATATTTGGGGAAATACAATGGTCTGTCTGTGATGTAAAATTTTGGGGGGAATCTATCTTCCTGTCTTTCAATTTAGGTCTATGAGGAAATCTGTCTGTCGGTTTAAATGTATTGGGAAATGTATCTGTCAGTCAATCTGTTTAGTAAATGTTTCAGAAAATCTATCAGTCTAAATATTTGGGAATATGTGTCTGTCAATTTAAAATCTAGGAAAATCTGTCTGTCAATTTCAATGTTTGGAGAAATCTGTCAGTTTGTCTATCTATTTAAATGTTTAAGGGAATCTGTCAGTCTGTCTGTCAGTTTAAATGTTTGAGAAAAATCTGCCTGTCTCTTTATCTTTTTAAATATTTGGGGTAATCTGTCTGACAACTTGCCTGTCAATATATTTAAATAAATGGGTAAGTTTGTCTGTCTGTCTGTCAGTAAAAATGTAGGGGAAAATTTTCTTTCTGTCAGTTTAAATAGTTAGGGTAATCTGTCTGTCTGTCTATGCACATGTTTAGGGTAATATATCAGTCTGTTAATGTAAATGTTTAGAGAAACCTGGGAAAATCTATCTGTATGTCAAATTAAATGTTAGGGGGAAATCTATCAATCTGTCTGGTAATTTAAATGTACGAGCAAACCTGTCTCTCTCTGAATTTCAATTTAAATGTGTGAAGTAATCTGTCTGTCTATTTAAATGCTTGAGAAAATCTATGTGTCGATTTAAATATTTGGGGAAATCTGTCTGTCAATTTAAATTTTATGGAAATCCATATGTCAGTTTGTCTATGTATCTAAATGTTTGTGGATCTCTGTCTGTGTGTCAGTTTAAATGTTGTGGTCTTTATGTCTGTCAATCTGACACTCTCTTTAAATATTAGGGGAAATATAATGGTCTGTCTGTCATGTTACATTTTTGAGGAACTTCCTGTCTCTCAATTTAAGTGTATGGAGAAATCTGTCTGTCAGTTTAAATTTAATGGAAAATGTATCCGTCAGTCAATCTGTCTAGTTAAATGTTTTGGACAATCTATCAGTCTAACTATTTGGGAATATCTGTCTGTCTGTCATTTTATAATACAGGGAAATCTGTCTGTCAATTTCAATGTTTGGGGAAATGTTTCTGTCTGGGGAAATCTGTCTCCTGTCTCTAACTGTAAATGTATGGGGGAATCTGTCTGTGAGTTTAAATGTATTGGGAAATCTATCTGTCAGTCAATCAATCTGTCTAGTTAAAATTTTCAGAAAATCTGTCAGTCTGTTTGTGAATATCTGTCTGTCAATTTAAAATTTAGGCAAATCTGTTGATTTCAATGTTTGGGTAATTCTATTTGTCAGTCTGTCAGTCTATTTAAATGTTAGGGGAAATCTGTCTGTTTGTCTGTCTATTAAATGTTTGGGAGAATCTGTCTGTCTGTCAAATTCCATGTTTGGGATAATCTCTTTGTCAATCTGTCTGTCACCTGAAATGGTTGGGGAAATTTGTTTGTCAATCTGTCTGTCACCTGAAATGGTTGGTGAAATTTGTTTGTCAATCTGTCTGTCACCTGAAATGTTTGAGTTTGTCTTGTAGCCATTCAGTTTAAATGTTTGGGGAAATTATATCTTTCTCTCTCTCTGTTAATTGAAACAGAAATCTGTCTGTGGCGGAACCAACCTCGCCACTGTGCACTGGAGAAGCCTGGTTGCCAGCCTCCTGCCATGTGACTATGGCCCCTGGGATGTATTGCCCTTTAACCCCTTAAGGACGGAGCCAAATGTACACATTGTGAACAAAACAAAATGTAAACAAAACCTGGCATTTGCGCTACATGTCTGTCCAACCGTAATACACCTCTTTCATAGTAAATGCACCCACTCTTATTATATATCATTTTATTCAGGGGAAACAGGGCTTTCATTTAATATCAAATATTTAGCTATGAAACATAAATTAATATGAAAAAAATGGGAGAAAATACGATTTTTTTGATTTTTTTAGTTCTAAATTGCATTTTAAAGGTCAGTGTCATAATACTGTTTGATTTTACTGCAATAAATTACACATATTTGTATTTAGTAAAGTCTCACGTGTAAGACAGTACCCCCTATGTACAGGTTTTATGGCGTTTTGGGAAGTTACAGGGTCAAATATAGCACGTTACATTTGAAATTGAAATTCGCCAGATTGGTTACGTTGCCTTTGGGACTGTATAGTAGCCCAGGAATGAAATTTACACCCATAATGGCATACCATTTGCAATAGTAGACAACCCAAGGTATTGCAAATGGGGTATGTCCAGTCTTTTTTAGTAGCCATTTGGTCACAAACACTGGCCAAAGTTAGCGTTAGTATTTGTTTGTGTGTGAAAAAATGCAAAAAACGCCAATTTTGGCCAGTGTTTGTGACTAAGTGGCTACTAAAAAAGACTGGACATACCCTGTTTGCAATACCTTGGGTTGTCTACTATTGCAAATGGTATGCCATCATAGGGGTAATTTTCATTCTTGGGCTACCATAGGGTCTCAAAGGCAACGTAACCAATCTGGCGAATTTTAATGTGAAAAAAATGAAACACAAGCCTTATATTTGACGCTGTAACTTTTGAAAACAACATAAAAACCTGTACATGAGGGGTACTGTTGTACTCGGGAGACTTCGCTGAACACAAATATTTGTGTTTCAAAACAGTAAAAAGTATCACAGCAATAATATTGTCCGTGTAATGCTGTTTGTGCGTGAAAAATGCAAAAAACTTCACTTTTACTGGCGATATCATCGTTGTAATACATTTTACTGTTTTGAAACACTAATATTTGTGTTCAGCGAAGTCTCCCGAGTAGAACAGTACCCCCATGTACAGGTTTTATGGTGTCTTGGAAAGTTATAGGGTTAAATATAGTGCTAGCAAATTAAATTCCCTTTACTTTCGCATGGGTTGTCAGGCAGGTCCCGCTAATTGTAATTAATTAAGATACCTAATTATGTAAAAATATTACATAAATATATATGTAGAATTAATATATGTGTATATATATACGTATGTGTATATATATGTATATATCTATATAATTTTTTTTAAATATTTTTATTTATATATAGGTATATATATAGTGATATATACGTATATATTTATGTATATAGATATATATATATATTATTTGTTCTACGTGTATTTTGATATATATATATATATATTAATTTCACAAAACAGTTAGAACGAAATAACACACATCTATATATTTTTTAATTATTTATTTTTAATTATTTTTTAATTTTATTTTTTAACGTATTTACATTTTAATTTTTTTTATATTATATATAAATATATATATAACAATAATTATATATATATTTAATCAGTATCAGTCTACGTGTAATTTGATATTAATATATATATATAATTATATATATATTAATAGTAAAATACACCTAGACGGTGTATGTGTGTGTATGTATATGTGTATATATATACTTAGATCATATATATATAATATATACATATGATCTAAGTATATATAATTATTTTTTTTACACCATTAACTTATTTTTATTTTATTTTCAGCCAGCAGGGGGACCACCTGTCATTACAGGCAGCCCCCCTGCCGGCAATACAGAAGCCAGCTATCCCCGGCCATGTGATTGTGGGGTCCTCGCTAGGACCCCACTCTCACATGGCCGGGGGGCTTCAACGAGGACGGATGTGCCGCGGGGGGCTCCCTGGGAGTCCCCCCTACCGCGATCGCCGGCGTGGGACCGCCGGCGACCGGGTAAGTTAACAAAAACCGGAGGGCGTACAATTACGCCCGGCGGCGTTTAGAGCCGCCTATTAGAGGGCGTAATTGTACGTCCTCCGGTTTTAAGGGGTTAAAGACATGATTTGGGCATAATGGATTTGTGTTGTGCTGCTGCTGGCCCTTTTAAGAACCATCTGGGGACATACTGTGGAGTTACTGGGTGGCCACCATTTCCTGTATCAGAAGCACATGGTGAGAACAATGGATGGCGGCCATTTTAACTCACAGACACTGTGTGGACTTTTCAACACGGTGCCATCTCGCCAGTATTTGTTGCACAGATACATCGTGCGGTGGTGTTGGACTATACAGCAGGGGACACATTATACAGTGATTATTTTTTATTTAGCCTGTATATGTTCTGCAGAATCTGCATTAAACTGTATCTTCCAAAGTACTGAACGGATCTGGGTGAATTTTGGATATGTGGTTCACCCAGATCCCCCAGTTCCAAGGATATACTTTTTATGGGTTATTGCATGTTTTGGGGTCCCTGTGATGTGTTTTATGAAACTGTATTTCTCTGGCTGTGATAATTAGATTACCCATTGTGTTCAGTAATCATATCACAGCCAGAGGGGAGGATTTTGTGTGGGAGTGTCTGGGTGTATTGTATGGATTGATTGGTTGTTTTGTAACGCCCTGTGGGCTGTACTATGTTTGTGGATTGGGAATAAAAGAGACTGTATGTGACAGTACAGGGAGTTCCTGTTTTAACCCTCAAAGTGAAGTGTCGTCTCATTATTGGGGGAAGGATTTATTGTATGCTGTTCCAGTTTGACTGCTAGGAGAGTAAACCTATTCGTATGGTTCCTATTCAACTGTCTACAGCATTCATATGCTTGAGAGAAGGTATACGCTTCTCTGGTTCGGTGATTGTGGTGTCGGCTGCAGTGCTTGGAGTCCTCAGGAAGCGCTAGGAGCATCTTTCAACGGAGGTACCCAGTCGGGGTGCCAGGCGATCCGTTACACTGTCTTTTCCTCTTCTTTTTAAATGTTGCACGAAATCTATCTGTCTGCCAATTTCACTGTATGTTGGAACCTGTCTGTCAATATGAATGTTTGTGGAAATCTATATGTCAATCTGTCTGTCTTTCAATTTCAATGTCTGAGAAAATCTCTCTTTCTCTTTATCAACTATGTCCACAAATTTAAATGTTTAAACAAAACACAAAAAGAACAAGCCAATTTCTAGTAAATTCTCAATATTTACCTCTTAATGCCCAGAGGGAAAGGCAATCCTTCAAGCCATGGTTCCCCAGAGGTTTCCTCCACAGGAGGTTTTTCCTTTCCTGAGTGCTGAAGGATGACTCTTCGTGAGTCCAGAGATACCCCACATCCAAACTGTATTTTGGATAAACGTCTAATAAAATAAAAGATATATATGAGCCCCTAATTCCTGTATATACAAATAAGACACTTCAAAATAGTATTCATTCTGTGAAACATATTTAATAAAGAAATGTAACTTGAACATATATGTCTTGTGCTAATTTTTATACACTTGCGAAATTAGCTGTTTGATCTAGTGGTAGTGGAATTCGATCTGATTATAAAGTAACCATGTTTAAATGTTGATAAGGTGTTTTAAATTACTTTGAGATAGTGGTAAATGTATGAGCTGCACTCAAATATGGAAGGTATATTAAATTTGGGGACATGTAATAGCTAATACATTTCAAAGAAGATGGAAAACTTTAAATAGAAGGAAAATTGGTCATCTTAATATGAAGAGAAAAAGATTAACAGGTGATAGATAGATTGCTGTGTGCTGCGTTTTTTCTAGTTCTGTGTATTTGAATCAATCTTCTCCACTGCTGATTACAAATGTCTTCCTACTACTAGGGATGACATCTAACTAGGTGCAGAACACACTGTTAAGGGACAGGTTGTCAGCTAGTCATCTAGAAGGTGAAACAGCCTAAAAGGTTTCTGAAAAAGTGTTTCCTAGCTTAAATGTTGTAATCACATTGATTAGCTGTCTAATTCTTAATAATAAAGTATGAAAATAGTATATAAAGGGATGAAAATATAATTTTGCCTCTTTATAAATCTCTGGTAAGACCACACCTTGAATATGCTGTGCAATTTTGGGCACCTGTTCTAAAGAAGGATATCATGGCACTAGAAAAAGTGCAGAGACGAGCTACAAAATTGATAAAAGGAATGGAGCATTTTAGTTATGAAAGAAAGGTTAAAAAAATTTAAATCTCTTTAGTTTGGAAAAATAATGCCTCAGATGGGATATGATAACATTATACAAATATATTCAGGGCCAGTACAAACCATTATCTGGAAATTTATTCATAAACAGGGCTATACATAGGACACAAGGTCACACATTTAGGCTGGAAGAAAGGAGATTTCATCTAAGGCATAGAAAAGGTTTGTTTACAGTAAAAAATATAAGGATATGGAATTCTCTGCCTGAAGAGGTGGTTTTATCAGAGTCCATACAGATGTTTAAACTGCAATTGGATAAATACAGGGATATTATTTCTAATTAGTGGAGTAATAGCTGCTTCATCCAAGGAGACATCTGA